AATGAATGAATTCATCGATTAAAATTTAACAACACAATATCATTTTCATAAATAATATCAAACCATGAATATGGTGTGATAATAATGTCATTCATTAGTCAATGTGTTCAATGATTCATTGTTCAATATATGTTTCTATAATGAGAGGAGGTGTGTATAGGTGAGTGGGTGGGGGTTAATTGTAATGCTCAAAATAATTGATTTGTTTTTTATAAATTAAATTTGAAATATGAACTAAACAGACGCAGACATCAATGAACTGTCTGAATATATTGAAATTAATGAAGTGAATTTTATTATTTGAATAATCAGATGATGGATGTTAATTGTTAGAAGCATACATATATACCTCGACATATTATGATTTGTACATAATGGGTGGCCTAATCTTTTTTCTTTCTAATAGGAGTCTACATATTTACTGCACTATCAAATTCTAGTCAGCTTGTTTGATTATAATACTGTACGTATTGACTAAATACTCTATTCGCTTATTCTTTTTTATGCCCATGATTTGAATGAATACATTTGTTTCAGGGCAGTAGGATTTCTGGATACCAGTAGTTATCATATTACCAGGTCGGAGCTCAGTTAGCTGCAACGTGTAGAATAATAAGGAGAAAATTCTAATGCTAAGTAGAAGAAGATTTCAGAACTAAGTAAATAATGGATAGTTTATTTTACTAATTGGTAGTAATGATTGTGCGAGAGGACCTAAGTGTAAGCAAGGGAGAGGATAATAAGCGAGATAAGTTAAGTCGGTGCTCTGAGGAAACGACAATAACAACGACTAGCAGTCTCAAGAAATGCATCAGGTGCAGCTTGTCCACGAGGGAGATGATGATCCGTGTGTGAGTACGTGTTTATCAAGTCTCTTCTTAAAGCTGTCCACTGAGGGGGCTCTGGTCACCTCGGCTGGGAGAGCATTACATGATAAATTACATATTAGTATGAAACAGTAAATTTTAACTATGATGTCATTCCTCTGCAAAAGTACTAATAAAATGATCTGTTTTTAACATTCATTGTCAAATGCTGAAATAAAAAAAAACAGTACTGTAGGATTCTATTTCACTGTAAGTTGATCATAATCACTTAATTGACTAAATCTTATTATCCATATGAGAAGATTTTTGTTCAGATTGGTCATTATTCGACGATTAAAAGTGGTTGCAATGAAACCCTGTTTGACCTAGGTTTCGCGTTATTTGAGACTAGTCAATAAAGTGTACATTTAATCGTGAATACTGACCAATGTCATTTTTGTCTAGTTCTTTTATGCTGACTAAATTTTTATAGATTAAATTGTTCACTATGACCAATAGTCTAAATAACTTGACATCTCATACAGTATGTTTATGTGTTAGGTGTTCGTAATTCCACTGATAAAGGATCAGTTCAATCACTGACCTAATAGCTCGGGGATAATGGCTTAAACTGTTAAGCTAGAATAAATTTGGTTCAAATTCTACAATGAGCATCAGTTCGCTCAAGAGCATGAAACCTAAGTCAGACAGAGCTTCCTGTTGACTAATTTTAGACACCTAGCACCAAACTATGGTAAATGCAATCTCATATCACTCTCAGAATTGGCAACAACATTGCTGCATGATCGGCAGGATTCGTTTACATATTGACTGATTTATTCTCTGACAGAAAAACATTTGTCTTAAACTATGCTACAAAACGTTAGAAATTCAATTTTCTACTTATTATGCCTCTAAATTATTACTATTATTATTATTATAAGTAGAGATATTGAGAGCTCAATGCTGATGAAAGTCTCACCTAACCTGTTTTTTTAATGGATTGTTTGTTAAAAATTAATTTTTCATTCCATCTAAATGGATGGCTTAACAGTTATATATTGTAAATACGTGTTACATTTCTTAAGGTCTATGTTTAAAAACATGTTTTGCTAAAAAAGCTTTCAATAAGATTTTATTTTTTTTAAAATGTTCATTTGGATAGTTTTGTTAATTGTTTTTTATATGTGACTAACTGATTATCTTTTTACAAATTCAAAGTTACTATTTTCCAGTTTAATTAACAGTTTTGTTTTGTCAGTTGTATTTATTTGTCACAGATTGATCTCAATTAAATTACCATTAATATCTAGAGGTCATTAAACAGTTATTTCTGATTAATTTAAGACTTCTCAAAATAGTTTCAATCACTTTTGGTATTTCAAAATTTGCTCAGTCAAAATCATATAATTATTAGATTTCTTTTGTGAATATATTTGAATATTAATTATTAAATCATTTACATTGTGAATTTCCACGTATGTTCCTAGTTTAGCTTAAATCGATCAAATTTAGACATTACAGCGCTGGATGCCGGCTCAGTGGTCTATAGGTTAGGCGTTCACGAACGAGGCCGAAGGTTTTGGGTTCGATTCCCGCGAGTGGGAGTCGTGGATGGGCACTGCTGACGAACCCCATACAAAGACAAAATGGCCGTCCAGTTCTTCCAGGTTTCGAATAGTGATCTAGCAATGACTGGTTCATGATTTCACTGGGAAACAACAATCTGTATAAATTTATGATGAATACATTGTATTCAGTTGATATCCGCTTCTTTGCATGGCATTCTTTTCTCTTGTGCACGTTTCTGAAAAGTCCCATACTAGGACGAAACAGCTATCAAGTTCTTCTTGATTGTCCATGATATTCAAGTCAAGAATAATTCATTAAAAATTCTACTTACAATTTAAAATACTCTCTGTAAAACTCTGCCTAAATCAGGTTTTTAATTGTGTTTTAGTTATTCTAACTTATTTATCTACTCTTTCATTTACAATCTTATTCCTTTTAAAATTATCTCTCTTTGTGTGATTTTTGCGTTGTATTTTAAAAATTGATCATACATAATAATTATTTTCATTAAAGTGTATTAGTGGTAAAAATTTACCCTCACTGGACAAGGTTAGATTTACATCGGTTATCAGGAGAACTAGAAACTATCTAGGTGTTAACACTACAACCTGAACAATACAGCTCAATCATATGGCGCGACCACACAAGTTGCTGACATCCTGATGGACATTCACACCATTTATATACATCAATACATATAATGATTATTTCTGATCCATGTTCGCGTCAGTCAATATGCATAGCATGAATAAGCCAATTTGACCCATCCTACTTACATGACCATCAAATTCATTATTATTAGTAATAGTGATATGCATAACAGCGTCCTAATGACGGTAGCCCTCGTGAATGTTGTAAGACAACCACCAGTATCAATGGAATCGGTCACTCTGCAAACCAAATTTGTATATGAACAATTAGCAAAACTTGCCAAAATAATGCTAAACTGTCCACAATGTTCATAACAAACCTTTGTTTGCATAGGAAACCTTCATCTCTGTATAGCAATATAACTCTGGTATGTATTGCTTGACGCCCAGGTTGAAGCAAATGGGCTCAAACGCACTTATTGCCATTTATCTCATGTAGGGATACATTTTGATCTTAATAGCGAAATTTTCATTTGTTCGACCATACGAGACCTGAATTAGGGGTTCTACTCCTATTATATATATATTCATCATAGACTGAAAAGATTGCAAATCGATGATAATACATATTGAATTCTCATAGGTTCTACCAACTCTAGTTCAAACAATGTTTTAGTACATATTTAAGCTCATATTAATAAGTTCAATTTCCAGCCTAGTATATTTATGGATTTTGTACTTGGTTACTTTTGTGCAATAACATTATTCATTGGTTGTTTGGTCATATCATAGGTCTAAATTACCATACTTGACTTCAATACAACTATCTTGTCTTAGTGACGAGTATCATGGATGTGTACTAACTGATAAGTCCCATACTAGAAATAAACAGCTATTCAGTTATTCTTGTTTTTGAATCGTTATCTAACTAAAAGCTGTTTGTAGTATACATTTTTAAATGACAACATTCTTCGCAATTCTCTGTATTAGTAAAATTAAATTGATCAAGCTTTTGATTTTACTGATGTAAAATTCATGAAAATGTATTTAAATGAGGTGACTGTGAAAACAGACGAAAGAATGGAAATCTTTGTAAGTTATGAATCATCAGTGTACATATTTTCTAACTGTACGTACATATTAAACAATTGACTTGTAATATTTTGACATTATTGTACTTACAATCTACCGTTTACATACATTGTCACAAATCAGTCATTATGACATATTACTCATTTTGTACTATGTCTATATACTAATTGGAATGCATTAAAACTGTGACGAAGCGAGTTAGAATATTATTTTGTGTCTGGTTAATCGATCGTTTTTGCATTAACGGACTCTCACTTTAATCAGATTTAGTGGTGGCCAGACCAGAACATGACATAATAAGTCCATGAAGACATATACTGTTGAACTGAGCCATGTACGTAGGTTGGTGTCATTACTTACCATAACTAGTGGTTTGAGAATTTGGATAACATGACTCAACAAAGTTTGTAGTCACACAAGTGCATTTATTCTTTCTCTTCCTCTTAGATTTCAAGTTTCTGAATTCTTTATAAATCTTTTTCATTATTTCACTAATTTATATTTTCTGAAATTTTATGTTTATGTTCAATCTATTCTATTACTACTAATACTGTTATTACCTCTACTAGTCCTGGATTCGCCCGAACAATTTGATTTTGCTGTGCTAATGAAGTTTTAATAACTTGAATCGATCGATGTACATATTTACCAGGTCCTATGTTGAGTTCAAATAACTGACATATGGAGCAATGGCAGAGAAATATCATAACAGCTGTGAAGAAAACACACTAATTCAGTCTTGTTTGTATATATTCCTTAGAAAAGCAAGACACATCTCAACCAATAGGATGTTTGCATCATTTGGCCAATTTCTCATTGGTCCAACTTATTATCTTTGTTCATCATCATATATTTATTCTAATTCAATTAATAGTAAAATAATATTTTATCTAAATTGATTATCTACACATATATAAACGCATAGATCAGTTTTGTGTCATATGACAGTATAAAATTTGAAATATGTAAGTCGGAATTGTATATATTATCGATTATGTGAGTTATATTCTTTATTCATGATTATTTATGCACATTGTAATGTTTATTTACAGGAAATATTAAACAATTAATGTATCTGATGTACAATGTCGTAAAAGTTATGAAACATTATTATATTTTAGTACTTTCAACTCCTCTTTATTTTGCGCACATACTGTATTTTACAGTAATTTACATATATACGCACACACACACACAGTGAAATCTCACATTGACTATATATCGTCAAATTGCTAAGTAAGCACTCAATTTATACTAACTAGGTTAGTGTACACTTGTGATCATTGTGACTAATAGTTCAAAATATTAAATGATATTATTCGAAATTAATAGTAAAGATGTCGTGTTCACTTTTTTGAGTTTTATTTCATGAACTCCTGTCACTGCTTGAAACACATTTTTTATCGTTTGGGATAATAATGATTGTTTTGCTATAGTAAAGAATTTTAGTCAATTTTTCTTAAACATCTATTCAATGTGTAATTATTTAAAAAGTATATTTTATGAATGTTTTATAATAGTACACAGTATCTGCCCTTCATCTTCAACGACGTGAGAGTTCTATCAGTTTAAATGATACAAATATACTTTTTCATACTCCAGACAGTGGACTAGAGCTCGTGCAGAGTGGACTCGAGAAAATCAGAGTTGTTACTGACTTGTACATGGTCGTTTAGACCATATGTTCGCACTTAGTCAGAACACAGACGCACATTCAGACGTCCTACAATATTGAATCTATCGATCGTGAGGTTCTGTAGCAGTGTCTGTCATTGAAAGAAGTGGCAAAGAAGTACCTTATACCGTTTCTCTACAGGAACACTACTGGTTGAGTCAGACCTAATGGTGAAGTATCATTTGAATTAATTATTTCCAGTGATGTTCGTCAGGGTTATCCACTTTCTCCAGTTTTTATAAAACTTTTTTATTCGCATGCATTTAGGGACGACACTTTCGTCGTCTGACTTTTCAGAAGTTGATCCTCTACCAGGAGACTCGCTTATCGACTTACAAAATGCTGATGACATACTACTAATTGGTGAAGACGTTGAAAAAATGCAGTCTTCTTGTCACTTTAAGCAACAATGCAAGCATGTTCGGGATGTGATTTTCCCTGCCGGATTACGAAATGTTTCTTCAAGTTTGGCTTGCATTAGCATTTGAACTAGTAATAGGGAGTGAAGTAGTTGAGCGTTATCTTAGGAGTTTCAACTGTGCTGATGGCCTGATGTATGACGAAGTCTGTGCACGGATACACAAGTCTCGATTCACTTTTTCTAGCTTGTGTCACTTATGGCGTAGAGAAGATATCTATCTTTCAACCAAACGACAAGTTTGCTGCATAGCAGTTCGCTCCGTCCTACTCTACAGGTGTGAACATGGCCAGTAAGAGTAAAGTATATTCGTAGGTTACTAGTATTCCATCATAGGTGTCTTCAAAGCATTGTTCGGTTATTGTGGAACCACTGAGTTAACGATGCTGATGTTAAGAAAAATGGCACTAGGAAAGAATGCAAATTATTTGGTGAAGTATTGAATTTTCACTAGTTGAAGTGCTTGGGACATGTGCGCTACTTATGCCTTATCATCGACTGTCTCAACCAGCGATGATTTGTAACATGTGGATAGACATGAGGGAAGCTAGAAGTGGCCAAATCCATAAAGTCATCGACAATGGGACTGAGCCATATTAATATTACTAGCTGAAAACTGTTGGTAATGCTACAGATGCATCCTTTCGTTGTCTTCTCACAAATTCTAATCTTCTGAATTCCACATGACATTTTTTTCTTCTTTTGAAAATTCATTTCACTGGATTGAACTTCTAGGATCACATCTTCAAATGCTTACAAGAATGAGATCAATAAGTGGTTATGTTTTGCTTTTTAGATTTCTTCTAGTTAACATCAGTTATAAGCCTCATCATATTATCTAATTTTAATTGGCTAAAATAATCATCATTTTATCCAAGCAATTATCTTCAATGCATTACTGATCCTACTTCTTAATATAGTTTTTATTGTCTTCTACCATATTATTAAATAATACGTAATGATTTATTGTGAAAGAAAAATAACAATAATTAAGTGAAAAAAAAAATAATCTTTTCTATTTTTAACATGATTATTTATGTCTAGGATTTTATTTCACAATAATTCATTACCACTTACCTGTATGATTATTATATTCCAGTTAAATAGTATGAGGTGTTAACCTACCTGTTATATATATATATATATATATATATATATATATATATATATATATATATATATATATAGTAGTGGTAGTAGTAGTAGTAGTAATAGACAAACTAGTTTACTGTTTACCAACATTTTTATACTTGACTGTAAATTTATTGATTCGTTTCTTCCCTTGTCTCTATCTGTCTCTTTCTCTCTCTCTCTCTCTCTCAACGCCTGACATTTTCTGTAAATTCTACTATTTATTTTATGCAATATTTATACATTTTCTGTTAGTTTTTGTATATATGGTTTTACTTTGGAACCCATGAATGAATCATTTTTAGACGACGATTAGAAACCTGACAAAAGTAGACGATCGTTTTGTCCTGGTAAGAGACTCATCAACAGTGTGTAAACACGACCCCTACTACTCGCAAGATTCGAACCGATGACCTTCTAACTTGCGTGCAAATGCTTCATGTTGGGGACGTTAGATATCCCAGAACTCACTTGATACAGGTCTTAATTTTGGATTTTATTCATGGACTGATCAGTTTATGCTGAGATTACATTTCCCCCCAGGAAAATCTTTGGCTGTGATTGGTTGATGTGTTATTTTAGTATGCTATTTTTGTGGCTCTCCCAAGGATGTTTCTATGACGTATAAATTAACTTGATTTGTGTGCATGAGATTATTATATTTTTCTGGGTGCTTGTAGAATACACTTTCTAGGCCATATCAAGACTTTTTCGTTAATACCTTTGGGGCAACGAATCAGAGAAGCATACCATGTCACTGGTTCATTGTCTCGTTCTCATTTATCGACTAAGGTGAACTCGTAATAGTTTCAAGCATAACACTTAACATCTGGACCATTGAGACGGCATCCAACGGTGTTCATGTCTAACTCTGATTAATTTAAGGATTTAGCACATCTTCTCCGATTGTCTTCGGTAGTTACTGCCTACACCTAACATAGGGTTGAACTCCACTAGTCACATCTTGGTTTGTTTAAATTTTTTTTCCTTTGTGAAATTTTTCTCTTGTAGTAAGTATATCATCTACCTTCATTTATCTAGTTTATTTTATATTTTAAAGATTATTGAATCTTATATTTTATCACACCAGATGGTAGATAATAATATTTATTCTCTATTTATGAGAAACCATTTGTTTGTTTACAAAACTATGAATAAAAAAATAATTCCTAATGTAATAATTACTAAACGAAGATAAATAAAAAAAAACCGTATAATTTTACTACTACTTACGGTTTTTCTTTTCTTTTATCAAAATCTTTCAACATGCTTTTTTGCAACTTGTTTACACACTTTTAAAAATGTTGAGTAGGATTATTTATTTCTATTTTTATCTCTATCTCTTTGGACAAGAATCCTGATGGAAAAAATTTTCTTTTAAGTTATTTTAATATATCTCTAATCATGGTTTGTCTAAATCAAGCAGTCGCGGTTTAAAAAAGAATTGATTTTGAAGGTATAATGATATGTTTCACTCCTTGGTTGTTACACTGTAGGACAAAACTACTATTTAGTGCTAAATAGTTTTCAAACACTTTACATGATTTTAGTAATATAACATAGGTTATAATATTATTGGTGGGGATGTTAGATCCTCAGAACTCACATGGAAGAGGTCCTAATTTTGAAATTTCGATTTGATTATGTTTTCGCGCATAGATTGCTTGGTTGACCATCAGCTTACACTTCCTACTCGGAAAATCCTTGACTGTCATTGGTTGTAGGATTATTTTAGCAAGCTATTTTGTGGCTCTCTCACAAGAGCGTTGCTATCATTGTATAAATAAGATTGATTCATGTGCTTAGCAACTTTGTATTTTGTGGGTGCTTGTAGAATACACTTTCTACGCCTTATGAAGACTTCTTGATATAGGTAGCCGGACCAGGGACAACTGATTAGAATAGCCTATCGTGTCATTGGATCATTTGTCTTTGCTCCGTCTACCGAGTAAGTTGAACTTGTAAAAGCATTCAAGCATATCAATTATGATTATTATAAAGTGGTGAATCGATCATTGTTACTCTACAACAAAAATCATAAAAATGCACTCACTAAAAACTAGCTTCATGGGGAAATTCTTGGAGTTTTAGTGAGAATCCGTGATCAGTAGAGTTCAATCGTGCTGGGTATGGGGCAGAAGACAATGGATGAAGTTGTGCGATATCTCGGGTTAGGTGTTTGCGTGCGTGACCGAAGGTCATTGGTTGGAATCCTGTGGACGGCTGTCGTGGATGCGCACTGCTGATGAGTAGCATACTAGGACGAAACAACTGTCCAATAATTCCAGGTTTATAATGTTGGTCTAGCAATTATTGATTCATGATTCCAATCAAAATACTAATATTATAATCACCTTAAACTTCAATACTTTGATTATACTATTGAATAATGATGACCGAATGAAATATGTCTGTATATCTGCAAACAGTTAGATTTATTTAGTAATAAGAATATATTAGTAAAATTAAAGAATAAATATTTTTCTAAACAGAAAATTGAATAATGAATTTAGTGTTTAAATCTAAATAATAGTGATAAATAGTTGACTTCCAATAAATCATCTCATTTTCAAATTGACCTTTATAAGATTTTGACTGTTTATGTATATACCATAAATATTAATATATCAAACTGAAATTATTATAGGAGTTTATGAGTGAAGCATAGTGAATAACAAATTGAAAGCAATATACAGTAATAGAGTGGTTAATATTGTAAAGTTTCATGAAGATCAGATTGC